TTTGGTAGATGACAATCCTTGAACTATAAAATTGTCTTTAGAGGTTCCCATTTTGGTAAGGTGTGCATTCAACGGTCTCACCCACTTTATGATTTTTTGAATAGTTTAACAGCATTATTCAAACGGTCTTACTGGTAATTGTAATTTAAAGTGGAACACTTTTGAATTCAGATACTTTTATATAAAACCGTTTTCTTTACCTAAAGGTGAAGGTTATTAAAAGTTCGGTCCGGCCGAATTTAATGTTTTTTACTTGTTCCTTTATAATTTCCAAAAAAAAAATGCAAAACTGGTAGGTTCTTGCAGGAGCATTTAATTGTTTCTCAATTGATTGCCACATCATGTTTTCTCAAAAATCTGTTTTTCTTCCAAAAAAAAAAAATTTTCATTTGCAAAATCTAAACAATTTGGCCTTGCGAAGATAAAAAACAAAACAAACTCAAAAAAAAAAAATTTTTTTGCAAAAATGGAAGAATTTTGAAATATGTATACGTTAATTAGCGTCTAAATCATTTAGGGGAAAGTATAGGAATTTATTTATATGTTAAAAAGAAACATCTCATTAAAATGCACTGGGGTAGGTCAATGGGTTTTCCGGCGTACTTTTTTAGTATTGTGTTCATTACTTTGCGTCTTAATTATAGAAACAATCGAAAATCACGATATTCTATAAGAACAAAATTTACTCACTCCTTCTTGCATTGCTCTAATGTTGCCATATTTACACCAAATCGATCGAAAACCGATGAAGCTAAAACAAAAACGATCGATTTTAAATTACGAAATTCAAACCATTCCGATTGGATTTTGTGACATGTCGGATATTTATTATTTTAAATTTTCTGCAATTTGCCTGGTATATTTGTAACTAACGAGACTTGCGCATAATTAAAGCGTAAACTGCACTGTTTAACATTAATACATTCTTCATAACCTGGCATTGAAACAAGACAGACTGCCTTGAATTACAGTTGTATTTTACTGCTTCAAACATATTTGGCTGATTGTTTTACCACTGTCCATCAGAATGCAAACTAAAGGCAAATACCTTTAGATTAGATTTAGCAGCTGATCGTCTGGACGAGTTGTCAAAAGGTGTGTCTGGTTACCCTAAAATTTGTAACAATTGTTACAAATTGTTACTGGAAATCGTCTGTTAACCCAAAAGTTCTGTAAAAGAGAGCGGTTGGAGAGAGAAATGTTGACAGTTGTTTCAGCGAGAGTTTGCAAATTCTTCTTGCAATCACTTGCAACTCTTCTTCTTCTCATTCATCGACACTCAATCAGATGTTTTCAGATGCTTGTTTATTTCTTTTTGTGATTTCAATTTGAAAATATCTTTTTGGAATTGGCAAGACTAATTGCTTTTGGAGAACAACTTTACAAAATGTGAAAAAGGCAAATATTAATATTTAAAAAAAAAAAAAAAAAATAAAAGACTATTTCCAACATTTTTATACAAACGCCATTAGCAACACGTTTAAAGGATTCCAGGGAACACATCAAACCTAGTTCTCTTTTTTATTGTTTATATTTTTATGTTATTGCTAATTTCTTTTTATTATAGAACTTGTAAAATTGGGGATCTTCCTTTCTTTTATTGGTTTGTTTTGACAAATCAGCTGATTAGTTGCAAGCTTCTGCAGGAATACCGTCTGTTTACTTTTCGCATTTTCCTTGCAAAAGAGAATAAAACTACCTTACTCTCTCAGAAAGATGTTGCTGGACAATTCCTGCAGGAAAAGTTACCAGACACACCTAAAATTTAACCTGTCAAATTTCACTAAATATAAGACAGATTTCCATCTCTGATTTCTCTGTATACAATGGATTTATAAATATAAATTTTGACAATGGATGTTGTCAAACACTGCCTTTACACGGTGACATTTTTTAACCATGCCATTTTTTTTTTGTTGGTAAAAGGTGTAGAGAGACAAGGATAGAAGAAAAAATGGCACGATAACCCACCGCACAGGGTTACATGCCATTTTCTTTGCAATTCTCTTTTTACTTCTTCTGAATTTTTTATGATTTTGACATTTCATATCGTTTCTTTATTTAAATTTTAATGCGTTTCTTTTATTGTGATGTGATGTTTTTAGTGATTGAATTGTATAGTGAATTATATGAAAATTAATTGAAAGTATTAAAAAGTAAAAAAAGAAAGTTAAAATAAAAGTTAATAATGCTATATTAAACACCTCAATAACTTTTTCCATCATTTCTTCTTTAGATTCACACATTTAATTTTAAATCACTTCTTTATAAATATCTGTTACAAACAATTAGCTCTATACGAAATACTGAATAAAATAAAATGTCAGAAAAAATGCCAAGCATTATTATCGTAAAATGCCACCGTGTAAAGGCGCGAAGATTTACGCAGAAATTTTAAAAGAGAATTGATAAAAATGCCAGCTAAAAATTGCACCGTGTAAAGGCAGTGAAATAAATAAAATGTAAACATATGATTGCATGACTTTAGCTCATGGTAGAAGAATACAGGTAGTCGCATCGACACAGCTGCTGGGACGATGAACTGTCAAACCGATTTTGGAATTGAAAATGTTGAATGAAAAATTATTGAAATTTGTAAAAATGTTGTTGCAAAATCGTCAGGCAAAATCCCATTATTGTTGTTTTTATAAAAACAACGTTTGTTTATGAGTGGAGAACGATGGTAATGTTTACCAGGGGGTAAGGCAGGGAATACCTAGGTTTCGGAAAGAGCCACCAATCCTCATCAGTTCCCTTGTTTCTTGTCTGGGATATTCTCCCCAGAAGTTATTTAAAAAAAAAAATAACTTCTATGACAAAAAACATTTTTTACCCAAGTGACGAGATCGTAAGCTCAATAGAAGAGGAACAAAAGAATTACATAAAACTAAAATTCTTTTGGAAAATCTTCTAAATCTTACAACCGCACTTATAAACATTTTCATCTTTCTCCACTTGTTATGCTTGAGGATTGGTGGCTCTTTCCGAAACCTAGGTATTCCCTGCCTTACCCCCTGGTAAACATTACCATCGTTCTCCACTCATAAACAAACGTTGTTTTTATAAAAACAACAATAACGGGATTTTGCCTGACGATTTTGCAACAACAAAATACTATGGTATCCCAAACAAGCAAGCCAAACACTGTTCTATTGATAGACACAGGCACAGTCGACGAAGGGGTTTTTGTTGTAACAGACAAAACAAACTTACATGGTTATGTTACTTCGTTCAGGTTGAACGAAAGCATAACAAGTGGAGAAAGATGAAAATGTTTATAAGTGCGGTTGTAAGATTTAGAAGATTTTCCAAAAGAATTTTAGTTTTATGTAATTCTTTTGTTCCTCTTCTATTGAGCTTACGATCTCGTCACTTGGGTAAAAAATGTTTTTTGTCATAGAAGTTATTTTTTTTTTTTAAATAACTTCTGGGGAGAATATCCCAGACAAGAAACAAGGGAACTGATGAGGATTGGTGGCTCTTTCCGAAACCTAGGTATTCTCTGCCTTACCCCCTGGTAAACATTACCATCGTTCTCCACTCATAAACAAACGTTGTTTTTATAAAAACAACAATAATGGGATTTTGCCTGACGATTTTGCAACAACAAAATACTATGGTATCCCAAACAAGCAAGCCAAACACTGTTCAATTTGTAAAAATTATTGAAAATTCATATTATAACAACCTCCAATTTGCGTGGTATAAGAAAGTATTTAAAAATATACTTATTTTTGATAAAACATTTTAAAAATTTTGAACAAATCAATGTTCCCAAGCGTTGATGCATCTACCTATATTCTTCTACCATGCTTTAGCTTCTTAATTCTACCATGACCATACTAAAGGAAAACAGATATTAAACAAAATGTAAACTACATTTAATATTTTGTCTGATTTTCAAAATCGAGTGGAACACCTTATACTTACCACCAATATTTCGAATAAAAAGAGTTTGTGTACAGTTTAAAGAGGGAATTTTATTAATATATCAGATTATTTCGTTTACACTTTTGTTTATTTTATTAAACATTTTGTATTACTTAATTTCATATTTGTTCGTAAATTTCGGTTCCAATTTAAGATTTGTATTATAATTATTTGTAATGTCAAGAGATGATCCGTGGGCAAACAAACTTATTTTGATAGAGCAAAGCGAATAAGCTCTGACAATTTCAATATTCAATAAAAATATAATTAAAATTATACATAATAATGAAATTGTAAACGTCTTTTCGCTCTACGCTACCATTATAATAAGTGTTTTCCACGGCGGAGATCATAAATAATAACTACTTATGATTTATTTGTATGGTATATTTTATTTATTTTTTGTTCGAAATATATATTTATCTCAAAGCATATATTAGAATACAAATGAGTGCTAAGCAAATTTTAAGGCATGTTAAATATTCAAATTGGGGTTAAAAACGAAATGAATGAAAAAGGAAACTTTAAGTGATGTCACATTAATTAATATTAAAATAATATCACATTCTTATATATATTATAGTTTTGTATAAATACATGATTGGGTGATAATTTTTTTCGTTTATTTATAAAAAAGGGAATATTTGTTAATTGTTTTGTTGAAATACATAAAGTCACTAACCAAAAATAAAATACATACATATTTATAAAGATGAAAAGAAATTAATTAAATCAAAGATAAACATATATTTTATTGTATTTTTTGTGTTGTATTTATTAATCTATTGTTTAAAACAAAATTGGCAGTAAAGTTAATATGTATTGCTATGTTTGCTTTGTCAGGCAATCTAGAAGGCGAACAATCTGACAAGATTTAATTTTTTTTATTTATTTATATTATTTTTTTATATTTTGTTGTAGTATGGATTGAAGGGCATTTGTTGAATTTTATGACAAAGAAAAAAATATTAATTTATTTATACAGATTTGTAAACTTTACCATTTCTCTTACACACCGACGCCTAATTACGAGTTTGACACAAATTTGTTATTTATTTTACGTATAATCAATGGGATTGACAATCCAAATAACTCGTTTTACGAAAATATGTTTGGTGTAAATAAGGCTTTATAAAGCCTGATACGTTCATATTGGATCTGTTTTCAGTGATAAATGTTTACGAATGACCTTAATCTGATTCACATACATTTTAGAATTATACAGGTAATCGCATTGACACATCTCATGGGACAATGAACTGTCAAACTAATTTTGGAATTGAAATTTTTGAAAGAAAAGGTATTAAAATTTGTAAATATCGTTCAAAAATACATATCATCACAACCTCCGATTGACGTCGTAAAAGAAAACTTATAAAAATCTACTTATTTTTGACAAAACATTTTGAAAATTTTGACATACCAATATTCCCAAGCGTTGATGCATTTACCTGTATTCTTCTACCATGCACATTTTCATACACTTTAATTGGAATTAATCATCATCGGACACTTTACAGTGGTAAAGGGTTCAAATGTAAATCAGACCTCAAGTTGTCTTTAATTAATAACATTGACAGTTTAAATGACGGGTTTTAATAAAACTTGTTTACTGTCAGGTTAAACACCATGGTGTAACAGTGAGGTGTTATACCAGCATTTCAAAAATGAGCCTAACAACGCGTTCATTATTTGAAATTCACAATGAAACAGATTTTGACATTTAAAGTACGTTTAGATACAAAATCTCTACCCGGGATAAGCCTTATAATTTATCAGTCACAATAAATTACACTATAAAAATATAAATTAAATTTATTGTGACTGATCAATTATCAAAGTTAAGCCGAGTTGAGGTTTTGTATTTAAAACATTACACACGCATGCGTATATGGTAAATGAAATCCATTGGAAATGGACCATTAAGATTTTATTTGACATATGCAATATAATTGACATTTTGTTAAAATTGACACAATTTAGTGGGTGTAAACGTACTTTAAATGCCAAATTTTTTTCCCTTAAGGTAATGGCTTGGCAACATGACAATTTAAAGACGTATCATTGTAGAAGAATTCAGGTAGTCACATCGACACAGCTGCTGTCACAATGAACTGTCAAAAATATTTTGGAATTGAAAATGTTGAATAAAAAGCTATTAAAATTTGTAAAAAATTGTTGTAAAAACAACCTACGATTGGTGTAGGATAAGAAAGCACTTATGTTTGATAAAACACATTTAAAAAAATTTGACATACCAATGTTCCCAAGCGTTGATGCATTTACCTATTCTATTCTTCTACCATGAATATTATAAAAGAATATCAGATCTGTTTTCTGTACATACAATGGATTTATAAATATAAATTTTGACAATAAGATGCTAACAAATGAACAATTTTGAAAAAAATTCAAACATATGATTGTATGACTTTTCCTCCTTAATTCTACTATGAATTTTTCATTCAACATTTGCAATTTTGACAGTTCATTGTTCTAGCAGCTGTGTCGATGCGACTATCTGTATTCTTTTACCATGTTTATACAGGGCAACTTGCAAAAATACATATACGATTTTTGAGGCTAAAGCAGAGCAAAGCTTAAATCGTGACTTCGAAGCATGGCAGAAGAATACAGGTAGATGCATCAACGCTTGGGAGCATTTATATGTCAAAAAAATTTTAATGTTTTTTCACATATAAGTAGATTTTTATATGTTTTCTTATACGACATCATTCGGAGGTTATTATGATCCGTATTTTTCAACAATTTTTGCAAATTTATATAATTTTTCATTCAACATTTTCAATTCCAAAATTGGTTTGACAGTTCATTGTCCCAGCAGCTGTGTCGACGCGTCTACCTATATTCTTCTACCATGCTTCGAAGTAAAAATACAACACTGTTCCAAATGGAGCTGACAACAGTGTTGTATTTTTCGTTTCGTCGGCCAATATTTTCAAAAGTGTGGTATTTTCAGGCCGATGCTTTGATCTATTTCATCCTTTTATCCTCATGCGTTTGTCAGTTGCTTTTACTCGTATTAAAGGAGGTTTAAAGTTGGGAATTTTCTCGTGTTAAAGGAGGTTTGAACACAAATTTTCGACCTGGTTAACCGTGATAATTGACTCAATCCCAAAATATTTGACAAACATGCGTTCGAATTGAACCCACTTCCACGGTTAATTGCCGTCTTTATGAGGGTTATTTGATATTGTTCTAAATCCAGTAAATATGCTATAAAATGCCATAAATAAGTTATAAATCCAGCGGATTTCCGCTGTCAATTCCATTGCGTATGTGTCAAACGAAATCCGTTGAATTTGAGATTTGTCGTATACTAATGGAATTGACAGGTTAAATCTACTGGATTTATTAAATGTAAACAAGTCTTATTAAGGCATTTAGACTACCATATTCGAATGTCAATTCCAAAGCGTATACGGCACGCAAATCGTATTCATAAATCCAGTGGATATTATTTGACGTATGTACCATGGCAGAAGAATACAGGTAGATGCATAAACGCTTGAGAGCATTGATATGTCAAAAAAATTTAAATGTTTTTTTTTCAAATATAAGTAGATTTGTATATGTTTTCTTATACTACGTCATTCGGAGTATAATTCGCATTTTCAACAATTTTTACAAATTTAAATAATTTTTCATTCAACATTTTCAATTCCAAAATTGGTTTGACAGTTCATTGTCCCAGCAGCTGTATCGACGCGTCTACCTATATTCTTCTACCATGGTATGTACTATGGAATTGATGTTTGAGATCGAGTGAATTTTGTAAATCTAAACGTAATTTGATCAAGATAAAATGTGTTTCACGATTTTTTTTTGAGTTAATTTAAATAAATTACGGAATAGAGGCCTGTCTCAAATTTTAGCCAAATTAGATTTGCGTTTTGACAAATATTAGGGTTGTTCCAGAACCTGCAAGAATCTACTAGTTTTGCAATTTTTTTTTCGATAGCATAAAGGGAAAATCGGTAATAGTAGTAAAAAGTTTCACATTCTTGCAGTTCTGAAACAGACCAATTGTTCATAAAATATGGGTTTATTCCAAATCATATTTAGTAAACCCAGCAGATTTAAATTGCGAGTTTCATTGCATATACGTCAAATAAATCCTCATAAAGGAAGTTAACCCGGCAGAAAGCTCTAATGTTAACATACTATTAAAAGACTAAATTTACAGGCATTTTACCTTAAACTCCAGGTTTAATAGCCAATTCCATCGTGTATACGTCAATTAAAATTGATTCGATTTCAAAGTGAATTTGACAGATAAAATTCACTGGATTTTGTGTATGCAAACCTTTTTACCTTTGATTTTAAAAGATAGCGTACGATATAGAAGAGGCAAGAATTGCTTTGGTCTTCAATCCTAATGGTTAAGTACATAAGAAGCTTGAAGTCATGGCTAGGCATATTTTGTTATATTTCATAAAGGGAATGCAGAGCCGCACTAAAATCCTGCCGTCATTTTCAATTATAATTTGACATTAATGTGCCAAAAACCATGACTTCAAGCTTCTTATGTACTTGCCATGGTAGAAGAATACAGGTAGTCGCATCGACACAGCTGCTGGGACAATGAACTGTCAAACTAATTTTGGAATTGGAAATGTTGAATGAAAAATTATTGAAATTTATAAGAATTATATCATATAAGGAAACATATAAAAATTTACTTATTTTTGATAAAACGTTTTAAAAATTTTGACATATCAATGTTCCTAAGCTTTGATGCATCTACCTACATTCTTCTACCATGGTACTTGCGCTATAAATTGTTGTTTTTCAATGCGGTGTTGCGCCTAAAGTAGTGCCTATATTTCCCGGAGTACTGCTCAAACAAAACTTGTCTATGTGTTGTAAAATGGCACTTATATATTTGGAAAGAAATGCTTTTTCGTATACAATTTCAAAATGTTTATCATTTAGTAGACAAATTAAAATCCGTACTTAAATATACATACATAAAAATATTGTGTAAAAATGTTAGATATTTCTAAATCAATTTTTAGTAATTAAAATATATTTAAAATTAATTATATTCATTCTTTATTGACGAGTGCCATAGGGGTCCATTGAATTAATTGAAAATAAAATATATATAGACTAAAAAAAGAAGTAAACACTAAAAAAATTGTAAATACACTAAAAAATTTTACTTAAAATTTAAACTAAATGAATATTAAAAGGATTATTGTTTAGGTGTATATCTTTGTAAATTTTTAGGCTTGAACAAGGGTTATCTGACTAAGTTCATGTTTACATTTAAGCTCGTATCACGACAGACTGCATTTAAATGAATAATGTGATGTAAAATACATAAAGACATATGACAATTATCTTGATAAGAGGCTCCAATGTAAACTTGACCTAAGAAAGAAGGAAGTAAATAAAGCTACCTGGACACACATGAAATTACTATTAATCAATTAGATTTGTAATTAAGGCAATTGGCAATTTTCAGCAATTCATTTCAATGTGGATGGAATTCTTTGGATAACAACCCAGCTAGCTTTAAAAACGTTGCCCTCGATATAATATTAACTTCAGAATTATTAAATATCTAATTTATTTGTATATATAGTTTATTTATTTGGATTTGTCAGGCATTGTCATTTGTGACAGACTTTTCTGTGCAGACATTTACCACAACTCCCAACTCCGCACAAGACCAGCTGACCATATCAAAGTTATGATGTTTGCCATGGCCAACATGTACAGAGACCCCCGCGGTTGGTCTGCAGCGAAATTTCCTCCTGTATTTTCAACTTCTGAAATGAGCGGTGCCGTTCGTTGTTCTTCATCCACTTCGTTGGCATTGCGTGGACATTTCATCCAGTCTCTGGCCGATGACTTAGGCTTAGGATGAGCCACACGCATTAATTTATCATCAAATTCCCAATAAGAGTGGCCCTTAAAGAAGTATGTCTTGCCATTGGTGTATTGGAAGGCAGCATCAATGTTATAACCGATACCCGACCAGATGGACATATCGCGTGGATAATCAAGTTCAACACGGCCTGTTTCACGATCCAACGACCAGTACAGAGTACCGCTGAAGAGATATGTACGATTATTGTAACCCCAAATAAATGCAGCATCAATGTGTGGCAGGGTTGCCGGCAGTCCCAAGGCAGATAGGTAGTTTTCTCGTATCAGGGTCACCGAATCAAATTCGTAGAATTTACGACCTGTAATGAGTTATGTGAGAATATTTAATAAATGTTTGTAAATTATTCAGAAAAGTTCTTACCAATAAAGAAGACAATATGGCGCTGATAGTTTTCATAGACGGCATCAATTTTACTGAAGTTCGAAGGTAAAGCAGTCCATAGCCGTTTGGTTTCGGTGGGATAACCAGGATACAGGCCTCGTTCGCCAATGCGCCAAAGGTACTGTAAAGAGAGGGAGAGCGGGAGCATGTTTAGATTTAAGAAAATAATAAGAAGGCTCATATTAAACAACAGAGGTAGACTCATTTTCTAAATCGAATATGGCAACCCTTTTTGCCGAACACGAATATTAACGTATGACGAGTGTCATATTTTACAAAACTAATAAGGAATGTATTATTTTTAAGCCTTTCATCTTAAGGAAACTTTTTCGGTGCTTTTAGATTCTGTGTAGTCCTCAAATGACGTTTTTTTATTTAAGGTGCATCTTTAAGGATCAAAACCCAGAATAATCAGCTGATAAATGTTGTGAACTAAAATGACCAATGAATAATATATGAAGGTCAATTTGACTAGAAATTCGAATCGACAATCTCTTATCAGTATTACAGCAAAATAAGCCCAAAATAAGTCAATCTTCATAATTGTCTTAGCTGCCGCAAAAATATACTTTAGAGCAAAATTCATGGTGCAATGTAATATAGGCAACCTCTTTTCAAAATAGCATTCCCACCCCTGCTATTCTATAATTTAACTTGTCAAATTTCAATGCATAAACAACAGTTTCCATCTCTGGTTTTGTGTGTATTCAGTGGATTTATGAATGTAGATTTTGACAATGAGATGTTGTCAAATGTGTAAATTTGAAAAAAAAATTAAACATATGATTACATGACTTTACCTTCTTAGTTCTACCATGGTAAAATTTAACTATTCCATAATCAAACCTTACATGACCTATGGGGCTAATATTTTGGTTTTCCGTTTTGGAGTATATCCTTCCTAAACTTTTATACCCATTAAAAATAACAAAATATTTGGTCGGAAATAAATTGAAATTTCTTGCCAACTGTACATCTTAAGGAAGAAGTACAAATTATTAATGTGACAGTTTATAGGCCTCAAATAAAAAAAAAATAATCGTCTGATGGCAGGGGATTACCTTGGTAATTGTACCATGAGTATGGGGTTCTTTCGATTGTTTAATGGACCTTCAATAAGGTATTACCCCAGATCAGCAAAAATGTCAAAATTTATTAAGGTTTTGTTGACTGTCTGTTAATCTTTCGATTTCAATCACAATACGCTTTTTGACAACTCGTTAAGGTAATCAGCTGAGGTAAATGAAGTACCTACTGATTTTGTCATGAATCAAAATTAAGAAGGCAAAGTCATTACATTATAGGCATATCATGCTCTGCGAAATTTAACTGAATAAAAAACCGGTTCCCATCTCGGATTTGTACATATACAAGGCATTTTTGTTGCCGTCAATATAATAACACCACTAATAGGTTTGACTTTGATTATACAACTCTGGTGTTCGGTATTTTCATTTTCCTCTGCAAATTCGGAATACCATTAACTAATGTCTCTTCTTTCACGCTACAAATTATTTAAGGCTTAATTTGCATTTTCAAAGTTGATGGGATTTCAACTGCCAATTTCATTGTGTATACTTTAAATTAAATCGAATCTTAATTCAATGACTTGAATTTGACGTATACATAATGGAATTGACAGTTAAAATCCACTGGACTTATTATTTCTGTACGGCATTAAACGGCTGATTTTCATTTAATGTGATCTAAAAAATCTTGTGATCTTGTATATAGAAAAATTTTGGTGTAAACACTAAATAAGGAAACTCGAGAGTCACATTAGAAAGAATAGAACAAAATAATTTTATCTTTCTTCAAATTTTCTGATAGTTATTGCTGTCAAACATTTCATAATGACACTACTGCCTTGATCTTGCCTAGTGTAAACAGGGTTTAAGAGTTGCCACGTGAACGTCATAATTTGTCAATTATGATCTATTTCACTCGTACTTGTATATATTTTACGTCAAAGTAATCATGATAGATCACTTTATTCAATAAAACATATTTTACTATCTTGTGTGAACTATAAACATTCTTAGTGTGTTTCTCTTTTCTATAAGAATCATGCAAAAAAAAACTTACCTGTCCTCGGAAAATAAACAGTTCACTGCGTATAATCGATATGGCATCATAATGGGTCGCACAACTATCTGGTTTGGGTTTACGTGGTTTCAATGGACGATGCGTCTTGGTGGGCGTACGTTGCGGTGGATACGAATGTGTGGGATGATGACGCGGCCGCGGACGTGTTGTTGTCGTTGATGGTGTTGTCATGTAATAAGGTCTACGTGTTGTTGTCGTCGTCGTTGTGGTGGTGGTTGGCGGTGTTCTATAATCGGGATAATATGTTCTTGGTGTATAGTGGTCATAACGTGGATCATGATGATTACGATTATGGTGATGATTGTTGTTGTTGTTATTGTTGTGATACGGATGACGTTCATTCGGTCGTTGCGGTGAGTATGGATAAGGATTCGAATTGGGATAGTTGCGAACTGTATAATACGTTCTTGTTGGCCTTGGGGTTGTGGTAGTAGTTGTTGTCGTAGTCCTTGTTGGTCTTGGCTGGGCATGATATGTACCCCAGGATTTCACCTTTGCTCCATACAATTCCTGTATAGCATTACGATCGTCGGCGGGTAATTCCCGGTCCGCTGTGTAGCCCTGATACCAGGGGAACATAATGGCATTTTGATCAGAGGAATGTCCTAGGCCTAGGGAGTGACCAAATTCGTGTACAGCAACACCGAGGAAATCAGTACCTGGAATGAGAGAAAATTGGAAATGAATGATGGAATTAAATATGAATGATAAATTTAATTGTTTTATTTGAGGGATTTTTTCTGTTTACTTTTTGGATATCGATCTGGCTACTCGGCTTAAAAGTACTTTCTGGTTAACCAAAATAATTGCCCAATCACAGTAATATCATCTATGGCAACTAAACTATCAGGGTCATAGACGGTCTGTCAGAAATTCTGACGGATATGACATACTTTTCCGACGTATCATACATACTTCGAAAAAGTCGTAAACCTAGACATATAATAATAGTTTTTTTACGGAAGCGTGGTGGTTGAATACAAAGGCATATAATAAGATGTGACATTCCATTGTTGCATTGGTTCAATAGATGGCGTTGGTAGTGGAAAATAAATAGGGAGGGATGTATGTGTAAACCTACCTTTCAATTAACTAATAAGAACAATTTATAATGAACTAGTTCATCTCCTTTCTGTGAACTATAAATTTGAACTTGGCCATTTGTAAATCACATTATAGTTGTGTTCCAGAACCTACAAATTAGTACTAATTCTGCTACAACGCGTTCCCGTACTGCAAAAACTAGGAAAACTTGCAGCTCTCTCGAAAAAAAAATGGCGCTGAGTGGTGCACATTTCTGCTTGTTTTAGCTACATGAATTTGGCCGAGCAGAAATGTGCAAATTGTGAATATGACATTTAATTGGCAGGGCTAACAAGGTTGAAAAATGTATTGATACATTTCAATGTTCCCGCGTCACAACAAAAATAAAGAAATGATCAACTTAAAAACTAAAGGAAAAACTAATATTTGTAGTGCAAAAAAAAAAAAAAAAAAAACAAAAAGAAAAAATATGGAGCACTTTTGGATGATTCCAGTAGTGAAGAGGACTGGCTGAAAGATGAATCAGATTATTAATTATTATTATAGATTATTAATTTTAACGTATCGTCTTCAATACTATTTTTTTTAAAATTTTGGCGTCCGTTTGAGTAAGGTTTCACCAGTCCGATTTGGACTGTTTACTCTTGGAATTTTGAATTTTGACATTTTATCGCATTTCTGCTAATTTTCCGTTCCCTTATTTTTTGAGCAAACCTAATTGAGAATGACATTTCGAACTGTTCTCTCTTCTGCTAGATTTACTACTAAAAAAGTACTGGAACACAACTTATGTTATATGTATAATAACTATTCCTGTAAAAATTACTCAGTAATCCGTACTGAGAGAATTTTCTCTCTCGCGTGGAAATTTTGCAAAAAGTTATCGAACAACATTTAGTAGAAACTGGCAAGAAAACAGCTGTTTCACAATACGATACTTTAGACTCTTAAACTGTTGAGAAAACCAAATTAAAATGACAATTTTGCACCATAAAATGCAACGTCAAACGTTAATTATTTGAAAAATCATTAAATTATTGCCAGAAATTTGTAAACACCTTTGCATGGGCCACAAAGCAGCTGTTTTTCAATCAGCTGATATCACCGGTAACTCTTACTGAGTTAACTTTTCTATTAAGATTTTGCAAACTCTTAGGGCGGTTATTAAATCTTTCCGATAGATAAAAAATTGATACTGTCGGTCACATAAATCGTTTTTCGTTATTACAAATTTCATTTAAGCAAAAGGTCAGACCCTTCCGGATAGATGCATCCATGGTACAATGAAGAGAAGGTAGGCCAACTTTGAAAAAATTGCAAGTACAGAGGTCTACCTGTTTGGCTTGTAATGTCAGAATTAGTATCAAAATAATAAAAAATCAAACAACTTGTTGCATTTATTTTGAATAAATAGTTGAAAACCGCGATAACTGAATGAAAGGTCAACACTTCTTTTCAAAATCATGTACTATATATCTCTTAAGGATTATTTCGCTACAAAAACTCTAGATTTTGTCGATGCATACGTTGAAATAAACATTTTGAAAACACCCGAATTTGAATATTTTCTGAACAATTTTTTTGTTTTTGAAAAGAAAACACATACATAAACAAATAAAGATGACATATTAAGCCAAGAAAATAAAAAAATTAAAATCATATGGTATCATAGCCCTGCCTTGATATCATTGTACCATGGATGCATCAATTTTTGAAAACATTGATATGTCAACTTTTTTAAACGTTTTTTCAAAAATAAGTAGATTTGTATATGTTTTCCTATACGACGCTAATCGGAGGTTATTATGATATGCATTTTTTAATAATTTTTACAAATTTAAATAATTTTTCATTCAACAGGTAGTCGCATCGACACAGCTACTGGGACAATGAACTGTCAAACCAATTTTGGAATTGAAAATGTTGAATGAAAAGTTATTTAAATTTGTAAAAATTGTTGAAAAACGTGAATTATAATAGCCTGGAAAACATATAAAAATCTACATATATTTGAAAAAACATCCAAAGTTTTTTGACATATCAATGCTCCCAAGCGTTGATGCATCTACCTATATTCTTCTGCCATGTACCATGGTTAACATACAAATATTTATCCAGGGTTAATCCGGGTAAAGATTTATGTGTAAGCCTACATTTAGTATAGTCATCAATTAAGTTCATGGTAGAAGAATATAGGTAGCATCGACGCAGCTGCTGGGGCAATGAACTGTCAAACCAATTTTGAAAATGAAAATGTTGAATGAAAAATTATTTAAATTTGTAAAAATTGTTGAAAAAGGCATTTTATAATAACCTCCGAATGAAGTCGTATAAGAAAACATATAAAAATCTTCTTATATTTGAAAAGAAATTAAAAAAAAAATTTGACATACCAGTGATCCCAATCGTTGATGTATCTACCTGTATTTTTCTGCCATGATTAAGTTATATTAACGATCTTTCCTGAACTAGTTCAACTGCTCCTTTCTGTGAACTATAAATATGAACTTGGTCATTTGTGAATCACACAATTACTCAGTAACTTGTACTCAGAGAAGTTGCTCTCTCGCGTGCAAATGTTTGCAAAAACTTCTCAAGCAACATTTACACCAGATCAAACAAAGAGTCAAAGTTTGTTTACATTTTGTTTTCTGCTATGCATCTCCACCAAAAAATGCTAAATTCATATCTCTTTAAAATATTAACAATATTAAACATTACAAATCATTTTCAAATCAAACTCAATTTATAGAAAACAAAAATTTTTCGCTTATTTAACTGATAATCGAATTATTCACACGTCCAATTTAGTTCATCAATCATCAAAGAATGGATTCTATTTTCAATGGATGTTGGAATTATGTTTTAGGGAAAACCCAATTCATTTTTCGTTTATATTTCACTCTATTTAACAGTAGCGCAGTGACCGTTGGCCGCCATTCACACCCAGCTAATAACAGTGGCAAAAAAAGACGGCTCATTCACTCACCGTCAGTCAGTCGTCAGCCTTATTTGCATCATCATCAATCAATTTCATACAAATCACTCATCCATCCATCCGTCTATTCATCTGGAGGATGGAAAGATTTTGCAGTAATATTTCAACATGTGAATAGTCTTCGACACCCCAGCATCCCCACCACCAAATCAAATGGGGTAACATTTACATTTTTTGGGGGGTGGACTGGTTTTTCTAGTCTATTGGGAATCGTAGAAATGCCATGAATGGTTAGATATGCATATCCGTTATTTTGTCTGTTTGTTATAATTTTTTCCTTGTATTTTGAAGCATTATCAGTTTGGTCATGGCTATTAGCAGGGCAATGTTGTTGGCCCATTTTCCATGTCTGATGCTGCCCCCATGTGTCTTAATTAGGTATCAAATATTCGTTAATTTTGGGTCGATCTGTCTATCCTTATATGTAGCTGCCTGTCTGTCGGTCTTGTCTACCCATATGTTCGTCGTCTATCTGTCTATCCATCAGTAAGGTGCAAAGCTGTGGTCTTATCCCTTTCAGCGCATAAATGATGTGATGAAAATTAGATTGTAAAGCATTAATGTGTGTGTGCGTGTTAGGTTTAGCCAATCCTGTTGCTCCCATTTACACATTGTCTGTGTCAGTGAGAGGATAGGTTTAGCTATTTTGGCAACATGTATCATGCTCATTATTTGTTATTGTTGCATATCCATCATTGATTGTAAATGATGGCTGATAGTTGGGTTCGAAACCATATCAAAGTAGCCGCTACTTCTATTTTTCTTTTTCGACAATTACACATATTTCGCAATAATCATTCACATAGAGTATCTAAACGAATTTCTTTTAGCCTCATTATCCCTTGTGCCTGCTGATGGACTAAGTGTAGTTTATTAGGGCGCTTTTTTTTGCAGTCAGCTCAAAGGGTTTCATAAAACCAGGCCAAAGGAGTAGCATTAAGGAGCAATTAAGTTATTAAGTAGCAATCCTGTTTTGAAATAGTTCATAGTTTGTAGAACAGTCAATTTGAGTCTCCATTTCATTGGAATGTAAACAAAGGAAAGTTAAATCAAGATATTTACTCTCAAAGGGTTTAATGGCATGTTTACATTAGAGCCATTTTCCGGGTAATCTTCTTTCTGAAGATTTATTTGAGGTATATGCAATGGCAACATAAACGTACTATAAGCTGTTAATAGAAGATAAGGGCTTTACATATATGCTGCCACTTTTATTATCCATGTATACTTCCGTACGTATGTCAAAATTGTCATTTTACATATGACACAAAATTCTTGCTTCACACACTTGCATATGTTTCTTTTTATTTCCTTTGCTTATATTGTAATTATATTGAATTTTTTTAAAAAATATAATTCTTTCCGGTTATTACATCTTTCCGATGGATAACAAATTATGTTGTCGGAAAAATAAATAGTTTTTTGTAATTACAAGTTTCATTTAAATATGAACTGTCTGATAAGCAAAATATCAGACCATCTTCCCTTTATCTTTTAACGTACAATTTACTGAATTCATGTTGCCATATTTTATATTGATAATATGGCAATAAAAGCAAAATGTATTTCAATGAAAAATGGATAACGCAAATCGTTTATTTCGTATTAAAGCATAGA